CACGAGTGAGGTTGCCAGAGGGGATGTCCCCAGGTGGGGGGGAGCAAGGGAGAGAAAATGGTAGCCATTTTTACATTGTTTTGTATAGTATTTATTGATTCAGGAAATGAACAACAAAATTCTGAATAAAATGACTTGGAAACTGCCTGTTTGGGCTTCTCATTTCTTGGCCTCTCCCACCTGTCACTTGGGTATATCTCTCCTTCACATTCACCTAGTGTTTTACCTTGTTGCCTTCCTGTGATTGCCTCAGAGCTACCAGATGATAAACCCATAATTTTTTTTCTGTACCGGAGATCTAACGGGTCCTTGTGCTTGCAAGGCAGGCAGCAGAACCACTGAGCTAAATCCCCGGCCCCTATACCCGTATTCTTAAGATGTTGATGTGCACAGTGGCACACGGCTGTGGTCCTCGCACTCTGGGTGACTTGAGGCAGGTTGGTCACAAGGCTGAGGCCAGCCTGGACACTCAGGATAACATGACCCTCCAAAGAGTGGGGATGTACACTGTCACGAGTTCCTCACATGCTTCGGCTAAGAGGAAGTACTCAGAATAGGATCAAGAGGGAAGAGCTGGGTGTGATCTAAGGCTGTAATTCCAATGTGGGATTGCTGGGGCAGGATCACTGAGTTGGGAGCCAGCCTGAGAGATACAGCAAAACAAAAAAACGGCCGGGGATTTAGCTCAGTGGTGTCGCAAGGACCTACCTTGCAAGCGCAGAGTTCCAAGTTGAATTCCCCAGTATCAAAAAAAAAAAAACGGCTGGAGCTACAGCTCAGTGGCACAGCACTTTTCCTCACAAGCATGAGGTCCTGAGTTTGATTCCTGGTACTAAAAAACCCCAGCTGGTTGTGTTCTCAGAATTCATTACTGGGGAGGCCATGGAGGGATCTGTCCCCTAGTTCTGTAATGGCTTGCTTTCAACTGCTGAGTACCTTTGCTAAGGAGATAACATAGGGCCGGGGATTTAGCTCAGTGGTTTCACCTCCTGCTGCGCAGGCGCAAGGATCTGAGTTTGATCCCCAGTGCCAAAAAAAAAAAAAAACATGGGTTCTCTCATGAATCAACTGTCCCAGAGCTCCCTCCTTACTCATGTAATCCTTTAGACTTGGCCCTAATAACCTCCCACTTATGAAGCCAGAGCCAATGGTTCTGTTAATTTGATTACAAAAACTAATGACTAAGCTTGGTTGAAGCTATGGCGCCTGAATTGGGTCAGGGGTGGGACTTAGTTACAGGAAGTAAACTTTCATTTCCCTTTATTCCAAGAGAAGACACGGAATAGGGTTGAACAACTGGTACCGGTACAATCCAGTTGGTCTTGAGTGAGGTGGTTCTGTCATGAAGTTGGCTGTGCTTCTCTTGGCCTCTCTGGAGCTTCTAACAGGTAAGGAGAAAGTGGGACCGAAGAGAGGGAGCCCCTGAGGAAGACCCTGTCCTGCGTTGCTAAACCCTGTTCCTCTCTTGGCTGAAAGCCCAGGGAACCAAGATTGACTGGCCTCACAAAAAATCAGCCACTTTGCTGCCATCCTTCACGGTGACGCCTACAGCTACAAAAAGCACAGTAAGACCTACAACTGGCCACGGACCTACCACCACCAGTCATGGAAATGCCACGGTTCACCCAACAAGCAATAGCACTGTTACCACCACAACTGACACTCATAGTCCTGCCACCACCACCACCAGTCCTGGAAATGCTACTGTTAATCCCACAGTAAGCAATGGCACTGCTACCAGCCCAAGATTCTGGACCAGTTCCCCCTACCCGGGACCACCTCCACCCTCTCCAAGTCCTAGCCCAGGCTCCAAGGAGGCTATAGGAGACTACACATGGACTAATGGTTCCCAGCCCTGTGTCCAGCTCCAAGCCCAAATTCAAATTCGAGTCCAGTACCCTACTCGGGGTGGAGGAGAGGTAAGGCTAAAACATTGCGGATGAGAGGGACAGGAAGCAAGTTCTGCTGTGGTTCAGAGGGAAGGAGGAAGAGTAGATGAGGGAGGACCGGGCATAGTGGTGAATGTCTGTAATCCCAGCACTCGGGAGGCTGAGGCAGGAGGATTGCTGTAAATTAAAGCCCAGCCCAGGGTACATAGTGAGTTTAAGGCCAGGATGAACTACTTGGCAAGACCATCTCGAAAAAAGAAGTAGATGTGGGAACAGGGAACCTTGGATGGCATGGCAGTGTAATCTTAAAGACTCTCTGCTCTTTAACTTCCACAGGCCTGGGGCATTTCTGTACTAAACCCCAACAAAACCAAGGTCCAGGGTGGCTGTGAGGGTGCTCATACCCACCTGCTTCTCTCATTCCCCTATGGACATCTCAGCTTTGGATTCAAGCAGGTATAGTTCCATGACTTCACCCTCAGCCTTTACTCACCCTCCCAGTATTCTGTCCCTACCAACTCCTTGCCTCCCTCCTGTGGATATGGACATCATTGCCCCCTGCTATGCTGAGCCTTCCTGATCACCTCCCAGGACCTGCAACAGAGCAAGAGTGTGGTCTACCTGAACTATATGGCAGTGGAGTACAATGTGTCCTTCCCCCAGGCAGCACGTGAGTAACCTTCCCTTTCTCACTGCTAGCATGTCTAGGCTCCTGAAGGGACAAAGCTGGGGGTGGGGAGGTCGACTGGACCTGACCCTTCCTCTCCCCTTCAGAGTGGACATTCTCGGCTCAGAATTCATCCCTTCAAGATCTCCAAGCACCCTTGGGCCAAAGCTTCAGTTGCAGAAATGCCAGCATCTTTCTTTCTCCACTTTTTCACCTTGACCTCCTCTCTCTCAGGCTACAGGCTGCTCAGCTGCCTCACACGGGAGCCTTTGGGCCAAGTAAGACCTGCCTATCCTTCCCTCCTAGAATTCTCTCACTGTGATAGAATTCCCTTTCCCAGGCTCAGATCTCCTTTCTTAAAGCCCAGATTTTGTATGGTTTTTTTTTTTTTTTTTGGTACCGGGGATCAAACTCAGGCCCTTGGGCTTGCCAGGCAGGCGGTGGAACCACTGAGCTAAATCCCTGGCCTTGACTTTTTTTTTTTTTTCTGAAGCCCAAACTTCTTTCCTCTCTTGGGCTTGTCATGGTGGTGACTGGGCAACCGTCTCCCTTCTTTGCAAGAATCTACTCATTTCCCCTTTTTACCTACTGCTGAGTTTTGGGATGGGCTGCTCACCAGTCCACTTCCAGTGTCCCTCCACACCTCCCCCATCCCAGTCACTACCAATGGAATGCCTACTTGCCTTATCTTTCTGCCAGGTTTTTCTTGCCCCGAAGACCAGTCCATCATGCTGCCTCTCATCATTGGACTGACCCTGCTTGGCCTCCTCATCCTGGTGCTTGCTGCCTTCTGCATCATTCAGAGACGCCCATCTGCCTACCAGCCTCTCTAAGCATTTGCCCCAACCCTAAGGGCCCTAAAAGGCACTCTCATTTCCTCAGCATGCAACCAACTCAGAGACAGTTACCATTCTTCACTGTCTTTCTTGAAGAACAAAACAGTTAATGCAATTGGGAGAGAGAAGGGAAGAGGTTTTTATTAAAAGAGACAGCCCCCACTCCAATAGGAAAGTAGCAAAACCTACTCAAATCTTTGTGTTTTGTTTCCCTTGTCCTGCCAGGATTAAAAGTCATTAAGTTTCTTGTCACATGCCTTAGTGTCTTTTCATGGTTGAGTCACAAAGGGGTGGGCCAAAAACAGCTGGTAAAGGGGCCGGGGATTTAGCTCAGTGGTTCCGCCGCCTGCCTTGCAAGCAGAAGGACCTGAGTTCAATCCCCAGTACCAAAAAAAGAAAAAGAAAAAAAAAAACAGCTGGTAAAGAAGGATGAAAATGTCAGTTGTGTGACCAAAAATGCCTTCATGGGTTCAACTGCCTCAAGGCCTGGACAGGTGATGTTGAATATACCACTACTTTCTTCTTTCCCAGATTGTTCTGAAGCCACTGGCTGCCCCCACTCCTCCAACCCAGTGCAGTTGCCCATCTTGGCAACCATCTTCCCAACTCTCCTGTACAATTACAGGTACAGTGGACAGGCAAAGCAATGCACAGATGGGATGGCTACGTAATGTCATTTCCAAAAACAAGCCAGTAGCTCCTGAGCAGTAAGAATTCCCTGTCCACTGTGTCCTGTGCTACATAAGCTAAAGAATCCACCGCAAAGGATTGCATCAATCACAGGAGCACCAGGTACTTTAACCTAACATGCAGTTGTTTTCTGTACTACTGAGAATAGCATCACCCTCAACCTGGCCACAGGCTGAGCTAACCCTGATATCCCCAGTACCTGGAGGGAAGGGGGCAGGGTCACCCTCAGGACAGCCAGTGCCCAGATTCTAAAAAGGGACTTCCAAAAGAGGGGTGCTCGACAGGTACACCTCCACCAGGTTGATGCACCATGGGCTGATGGCCTGGCATTGGGGGGCAGGGCATAGCACTCTAGCTAGTCCAAGATACCCTTTTCCAATAAGTTTAGTCTACTCAGCCTTGCTAATCCTTACTTGGCACTCTTAGACCATGGTGGGGGATACCAAGGCTTCAAGGCTGACTCAGGAGCTGCCCTCCCCCAGCTGGGCTCGCTCCCCAACCTCTTCTGCTTCACTATCCCGAGCCCTGCAGTCACTGGCATACCCGTCCTCCAACACGTACACTGACAAGAGGCGGGAGCATCCTGCTAAGGGATATTCAGGGTAGATGGCCCGCTCAGGCCGGCGCCATTCTCTGGAAACAGAGAGACAGGGAAATAGAGCGCTACAGCGCCCCCACTCAACACCATTTTGGATACAAACTCCCTTTCTCTCAACTTTGAACAGTACAAAGTTGGCTAGAAGACAAGATGGCGCCTAGCAGCAGGCGAGAAGAAAGCCCAAAGGGTAATTTTTCCTTCCAAACAGCAACAGTAAACAAAGGGGCGGAAAATCTAACTGCGCAGGCGTATTGCTTTGGCACACTTTAAAATTCGAACGGTAGTTCGCGTCCGAAACGTGGTCTCCGAACGTAAGCTCTACTGCACAAACTGTGGCGTTAAAAAGGGTGGTGGAATAGAGGACAGAGCAGCTTCCTCGCGGGAAAGGAACTAGGGGCGGAATGAACAACGCGCATGCGCACTACAGGTCAATGGCGAGCTACAGAACTGGCGGAAGCTAGCTTTCCAACATGGCGGCCGAGAGAGATCGGCTGCTCAAACGGGTGCTGGTGCCAATTCTTTTACCTGAGAAATGTTACGACCAACTTTTCGTCCAGTGGGATTTACTTCATGGTGAGTTTTATTCAGCCTCCAGTGTCTTATCGAGCGTCCTTGGGCGTGACTGGCTCAGTGACTATCTGTTGCCATTCCGAGCTGGGCGGAAGACGCTTCTTAGAGGGGCGGAAGTGGCTTGGCTCCGGTGCAGGAAAGCCGCTACATTTGGGCAAGAGTGAGTCGCCGGAAGTTTGTGCATTAGCGACAAGGAAAGATGAGAAGGCTCATTTTTTATAAAACAGTAAAAAATGTGATCAAGTAACTCCAGGCTTTAGAAGATCTCTGGCAGAGTTAAATTTAATTCAAAGCCTTTGATGAATCAGGCCTTCATGTGCATCCCAGAGACTCCTGTGACCCCAGTTGCTTCCAGCCTGTACGTTAACTCATGGTCTAATTTTGGAATATTTTGCCTTCTTTTCCCTATTTGCCGGCCGGGCAGCTCTACAGCAAGGCCTGCCTCAGGCATCAGACTCTTTGAGAGGGCCCCCCCCCCATTAGTTCATAGTACACCCCCACACCCTCGTACTTGTGCGACACTGTTCACCCAGGAATTGGCTTCCACTGGGCCAAGCTCCTTGAGGAAAAGGTTTAAAGGCTAGAGAAGTTGTGGATGACCAGGGCATAAAAGCAAGCCCTGGAAGTGTAGGGCCAAGCCTCTGAGTAGGAGTCAGGAATAGAGTTCAAGAATGAGTGGTATGGAAACCCGTCCCTGGAGAGAATGTGTGAAGTGGGCCACCAGTTGATTAGAGGAAGGAGAAAGGAGCAGGGGACTCTTTGGCATGTCTTAGTGTTATTCAGGGAAGAAATAGGGACCAGAAGTCATTGTATGGAATGGAAGGTTTTGTGGGAGGGAAGACATTAGCTGTTTTTGGGAAGTCATCTAGATTGAATAGGAGATGGTTTAGAGCAAGAAGGACCAGGGCTTTTTCTCTGTCTTCCCACCACCAGATCAAGACTTCCCCTTGTGTGATCATGACAAGGTGAGGGAGAGGAAAGGGCAACCCACGGAAACACTAAAAGCTCCAGGCTGGGTCCAGAGGGATCATCTCTGCCTCCCTCCTTTTCTTTTCTTAGTTCCTTGCCTCAAGATTCTCCTCAGCAAAGGCCTGGGGCTGGGCATTGTGGCTGGGTCACTTCTCGGTATGTACATTTTCTTACCTGCTATCAGGACAGGGGAGGAGGTGCTGAGATGTCAGAAACTGTGTGGTCCTTTAACCATAAATGGGTTTATCGTGCTTCCTAGTCCCTTCTCAAGCTATTGTGTTGTGTTGCCAAGGATTGCAGGCTCCTTAACCCTGTCCTTCTCATCTTTTCCCCAGTAAAGCTGCCCCAGGTATTTAAAATCCTGGGAGCCAAGAGTGCAGAAGGGCTGAGCCTCCAGTCTGTAATTCTGGAGCTAGTGGCATTAACTGGGACTGTGGTCTACAGCCTCACCAACAACTTCCCTTTCAGGTGAGGAACCTGCCCTGTATCCCCAAGGGTAAATGGGTTTAAAATGAGGAAGGTGAAAGGGTAAGAAAGCTTAAGCTTATCCAGTGAAAGTGAAGAGAGGAAGTGAGCATCTCAAGAATTGCCCACAACACCATGAGGCAATCACAGATGGGCTGTGGATTATAAAGGACAGGGTAACCAGAGGATTATGTCCCCAGATGGATGGATGGGCTATGGAGGGTTTCCCTGCCTCTCTCCAGGCCTGCCCTTCTTCCTCCTTTTTTTTTTTTTTTTGGTACCGGGGATTGAACTCGGATCCTTCTGCTTGCAAGGCAGGCGGCAGAACCACTGAGCTAAATCCCCGGCCCCTCTTCCTCCTAACTCTTGACTCTGCAGCTCTTGGGGTGAAGCCCTGTTCCTGATGCTCCAGACAATTACCATCTGCTTCCTGATTATGCACTTCAGAGGACAGACTGTAAAAGGTGCTGGAGATTTGCTCAGGAGCAGGCTATGGGTTCTTGGGAATCCTGCTGGGAACTGAGGCCTGGGGAAGCTAGAGTAGGTAAAAGAGGTTGATGAGGACTCTTTGTCTCCCTGACCCCCAGGAGTTGCTTTCCTAGCCTGCTACGTGCTGATCCTGCTGGTGCTGCTTTCACCACTTACACCACTGACTGTAGTCACCCTGCTCCAGGCTTCTAATGTGCCTGCTGTGGTAGTGGGAAAGGTGGGTAGTAGGGACAAAGGAAAGGATGTTGAGAGGGGTGTGGGGTGGAGGGGCAGAATGGAATCCCAAAGGGGATAGAGGGAAAGGAGGAAGTCAGTGATGGGAGCATGGGGAAGCCCAGATGACAGAACCAAAGATGTCAATTCCTCCCCTAGCTGCTCCAGGCAGCCGCGAACTACAGCAATGGGCACACAGGTCAGCTCTCAGCTATCACAGTTTTTCTGCTATTTGGGGGCTCCCTGACCAGAATCTTTACTTCCATCCAGGTAAGTACATCCTCTGTCCTCTAGAGGGCAATAAAACCCATTTTACACTCAGCGGAAGAGTCTACCCAATCTCTGGAGCCTTTGTCCTTAGGGTGGCCTTTTTTTTTTTTTTGACACACGGCCTCATTGTGTAGTTGAAGCTGGCCTTCAAGTCCCAGTCACCCTCTTGCCTCAGCTTCATGAGTGCTGGCATTACAGGCATGTGCCGCTATACCTGGATAGGGTAGCCTCTCTTGAGCTATCCTAAAGGATAACCCTGTTTCTTATAACCAGGAAACTGGAGACCCCCTCATGGCTGGAGTCTTTGTGGTCTCTTCCCTCTGCAATGGCCTCATTGCTGCCCAGGTCCTCTTCTACTGGAACACAAAGCCTCCCCACAAGCAGAAAAAGGAGCAGTAGAGCTGAGCCAGCTACTGGAGTCACTCTGTTTCATTTACCCACCCTCAGGGTCCTCCCTCCCCACGTGAGCCAGTGTGCTGGTGCCTTTTAGTCATCCTCCACTGCTCAGCAGTTGCAACTTTCTGAGCCAGGGCCTGTTTTTAGTGGTAACTGGAAGTTGGTGGGCCCAGATCCTTAGGAGAGGGCTAAAGTTTCATCTCCTGTACCACAAAAAACAAAACAAAACACCATTCCTAAGGCCTGTACGTGTGCTATTCACTCATTTCATCATTTGTCTTCTTTAGCAGCAGTTTCTAGCTATTTCTGTACTGGGGCAATGTCTTGTCCTCCCACCTCCCCACAGTTCTTCTGGTCTTAAGAGGACAAAGCCTGGACCAGGGAATGGAGAGCACTCTGGGCTTGTATCCCCTCCCCCTCATTTAGGACTGCTGTCTCCTGGACCCCAGGGGTGGAGGTGGGGGAAAGGGGACTGCATGACTCAGACAGGGCCCCAGGGTGGGGTGAGGAGGTTCCTGCTCTGGCAGGTCCAGGCGGAAGGGAGTGGAGATGGTGCTGGTTCCTGTTGCAGTGATGTGAACGAAGATGGGGTGCAATAAAGACACAAAACGCATGGTTTCATCATACAAAATTGTGTTACATAGTAGTTTCGCTGGCCCTGGCTTCTTGGGAGAACTGCAGGGCTCTGAACTGTGGTCCAACACAGGAAAGAATTTTCAGCCTGGGGTTGGGGGTGGTTCTGGGTGGGATAAAGGGAACAGTCCTTGCTGGTTAGAGGTGTGCTAGGGGCATGGGGGCACCAGGATTGTAGGGAGCAGAAGACCCTGGGGGTAGGTAGGGGCTAGATGGGGGTAGAAGCTCCCCCTGGAACCTAGGGTCACTCTGAGGGGAGCACGGCGATGGGGCCTCCGGTCTACAGTGAGAAGAGCTGCAAAAACAAATGGGCGTTAGAGGTTGCCTGTCGGGGTTGGAGGGGCTAACCTGTGTCCCCAACTCTCAAGTGGGGGACTGGTCTGACCAGTTCTGGGCAGACAGAGGTAGAGGCTGCCAACCAGCCAACCATTCTGGGTACAGCAGGCATGGAACCAGACCTTAGGATGGCTTAGAGAGGTGCACAGCCCTGTTGGGGCATGCTTAGGAGCAGTAGGCTTGCGTGCTGCGCGGCTGTTTGTCTCTTTTGGGGCGGCAGGCCAGGAAGGGGGCAGGATGGGCTTGGCCTATCCTTGCCTTGAGGCTAGGGGAGGAAGCCGGGTCACACACAGACCAGAGCACGGGGAAATGGAGCATCTTGGTAACTAGAAAAGTATCATATCCAGGGGTCATTTGCTCCTGCTGCAGGGCACCTCCAGGCTGAGATGGTAAGACCCTGTGGGTGATGGTGCCATCCAACCTTATCCGGAGTGGCCTCTAATGGGCCCTCACACACACCCCCAACCCGCTTCCCAGGCACTCACCCATAGTTGCCGGGTAGGTAGGATGTCGAGTAGTTAGGGGGCTGGTACCCAAAGCCTCTGCTTCCTTGGGTGGTTGTATATCCTGGCCCCCAGAGCGGCCCCGAGCAGGCCAGAGCGCCGCCTCCGTGACTGAAGTGGGCAGGCCCGGCGCCAGAGCTCTTGGTTTTCCGCCGCGGCCGATACTTGTAATCGGGATAGTCGCGCAGATGCCGGGCGCGCAGCCGCTTGGCTTCCTCCACAAAGGGCCGCTTCTCCTCTTCGCCCAGCAGCTTCCACTGAGCGCCCAGGCGCTTGGAGATCTCTGAGTTGTGCATCTTGGGGTTCTGCTGCGCCATCTGGCGGCGCTGAGCGGAGCTCCACACCATGAACGCGTTCATGGGCCGCTTCACCTTTTCCAAGGGAAGCCCCCCGGATACCACGGGGCTCCCGGCTGCTTCCTGCTCTTGGAGTCCGGAAGACGAGGAGGTCTCGGTAGTAGGAGTGGGAGGCTCCAGGTCCCAGGCCTGGGCCTGTGAGGAACCAGGTAGCGCCATGGGTTGGGGGAAAGCCTTAAGAGGGAGTCCTGAGTTGAATGCTGAGACCTTTAAAATGTATGTCTTTCCAGTCTGGAGTCGTACAGGAGAAAACTCGGGTCCTTAACAAAGCATGTATCACTCCCAGTTCAGAATCCTTGAAGCCTTTGATTGCAGCCAACTCGGCACACTTAGGACAGAATTGAATGCAGAACCTGCTGCGTCTTGCAGCCTGTACAGGAGAGGTCGTTCTCTACTTTCCTTCTAGCTTATAAGAGCCCCAGCCGCCACTCTCTCCCTACCCTATGTTGCAGTCGGCCGATGTCCAATAGAGGTCCGACGGGTAATAAAGGTGGCAAACTTACCCTGTAGGGCCCTGGAGCTCCAGCTGCTGCCAGGCCCACAACCCTGGTGCCACCGGCCTCTCCCTCCTGCACTCTGAGTCTGTGGCTGGCAGGCCAGGCCCAGAAACAACTTTTAAAGACTCCTCCCCAGTCCCTCCCAGAGACTGCACCAACATCCCCTTGCTTTAGGCAAACCCAGGTGTCCTGTTCTTTCCAGCCCCAACACCTCCCCCTCCAGGTACCACGCCCCCTCCCCACCCTAAATCTAGGTGTCAAGCCTTCCAGCCCCAGTTGCTACAATTGTCTCCCTCCTTTCTTAAGCACTGCAATTCAAAGTCAATTTCTTTCCACAATGCATGAAGTACAGGGCCATCAAAAGCCCTCTGGGCTGAGTTGTGCTAGGAGGAACTAAAGGTTTTTCTGGCGCCTATAGCTCCTCAAACCCCTGACCTGCCCCTTGGCCAATAAAGGCAGTCAGAGGAAGGCCATTTTTATTTCCTGAGTCATTCCAGCAGGTGGTTGGGCTATGATTCAACCCTTTCTTCAGGTGAAAAAATTCAAGTTCTCCCACGTCCAGCCAACCACTGAATTATGGTAAGTTTTATCTTCAAACACAAGCCAGGAGTCTGGAGCCAGGAAATGCAGGACAAATCCCAAGAGTTGAGTTTTAGTGATGTCGATGCTACAGCCAGAGTAGAGTGCCAGCCAGGAACGGGGGCCAGACCAGAGTTCTGGAGGTTGGGAGGGAGGCCCTCTTCCCATTCTGCACAAGGCACAGCCTATGCCCCAGGCCTCAGGTAATCAGTTTAAGCAGATAGATACCCGCCCTGGCTCTCAGCTCCTAGCAGGAACTGCTCCAGCTGAGCACCGCTGCCTAGCCAAGCCATGACTCAGGGCATAGGAGTGGTCCAACTCCCTCCACTAGCAGGGGAGGGGATGGGCAGTAAGGCCAAAACCACCTCTGGACCCAGAGGGTACCTGGGCCTGGGGAATTTAGGAATGTCAGGAATTCCCAGAAGTGAGATGTTCCAGCCCTGAGAATGAGGATAAGCCTAGTGTGGAGGAACAGACAAGAGCCAGGGACCGATGCAAGTTAAGTCCTAGAGAATCAAATGGATCACACTGCGGACAAAAAAAGGAACCACAGAGCCATTTGGATTTTTTTATTCTCTTTTTAAATACTGTACAGTGAAAAATAAATACGCCTTCTCATCCACCAGACAAGGTCGGTCCCCCTCCTCCCTTGGGGGGCCTTGTCACCCCCCTTCATACACACCCCTGGTTCTACTCCAAAACCTTCCCCATGCCTCCCACCCATGGATACCCTTACTATCCCCGTCTTCCACAGTGATGAGGCCCCAGAAACGGGGGGTACAGGATGGGAGGAGGGATAGCAGGGGGGCCCCCCTGAACTGTCAAATCTGGGTGGGTCAAGGAGCACCCTCAGCCACCAACAGGTAGAGAATAAGGGTGTTCAGAGGTTGGGGCATTAGAGGATAAAGGCACATCCAGTCTGATGGGGAAGGGGAGGCTCCCCTCACCCTGGGGGTAGGGTGGACAAGAGAGAAGGGGCTATGACCCTGTTACACACCCCTCCACTAGCTCCTGGAGGTTAGGGGGGACCCAAGCTGCTGTGCCACCCCCCTCCCCCCTAGATAAGAGCAGCTCCAGCGCAGGTCAGTTGGGCCCATGAGGCCCATGGTGGTGGGCAGCAAGCGAGATGGAGAAGGGAGGGATGCAGGTTGGAGGTTTTATGAAACCCCATTCACCAAACTACCCAACTCCAGGGGGGTGGACAGCTCCCCATTTTCCGAGGGGCCCTTAGGAAGCTTGCTGACAGAGTCACCCTGAGGAGAAAGTGGGGAGGAAAATGGAAGGAAAGGAAAACAGGAGAAGTTCAGGTGTAGGCATTCCCACCTACTAGGTCCTCCACTGAGCACCTATCCAGGGGCTGCTTTCCCATCTCTGTTCTAGTCACTCTGTGAGCCACTTTCCTCTGCTAAATGCAACCTGACATGGCCACTCTGGCAACTCAATATGAGATTTTTCTGGGAATTTTTTTCTGCCTCTTGCCCCAGAATAAAAAAAAGGAGTGGGGTAAAAACTGCATCTCGCCTGCCTACCTTCTGTCCTGAAAGGGAGTCCTCTGAGGGTTTAGCGAGTTCCAGGGGTGGCCGCTGGCGGCTCTGAGACTCTGCTCGTGAAATATAGTCAGCCACAGTCACTGGGGAAGGCAGAGATTGAGACTTCAGAAGAAGCTCGGATATCCAGCCCACACTCCCACCGAACACAGTTGTGACAAGGCAGGATGAATTCCATCCTCAACACTAGGAAGGCTCCTGGTGGGCAGTGTCAGCTGACCTGGCTGCCGGTCTCCACTGATAGACCCATCAGTCCGGTTACCACGGTTGCGGCGGCGGCGGCTGCGATTACGACGCTGGGGTCTGGACTCTTCTTCTGTGGGAAAGAGAAAAATGGCCTTATATTCACTTTCCCATCCCTCAATCTTACCCATCTCTGACTTCTCAGGCCGTAGGCACACCCCTCACCCAGGCCATTCTCTGTCATGTTAGGCCCATCAGACTCCAGGCCTCCATCCATAATAGTTCTATCTTCATCAGTGCGACGGCGGCGGGAGCGGCGGCGCCTGGCACTTGCTGGGGGGGGTTCCCCAGGCTCTGAGTCAACAGGGGGCTCTGGTTCAGATGTGTCCAGTAGACTGTAGGGGTTACTGTCTGGATCCTTCAGCACTGGCCAGGGGAAAGAAAGAAGCTGGGAGGTAGGCAACAATCATCTTTCTTTCGGCTGACATTCATAACACCAGCTGTCTGATACCTGAGCTAATAGATGAAGAGTTGTATCTTGAGGTGGGTCGGGTAGTAGGTGGGGGTCCCCTACCCCGGCCCCCAATCAGCCGCCTCCGGCTTTCTTCTCCCCGGGTTGGAGGATCCCGGTCACCAGGCCCAGCTCTGTTGGGCTCCTCTCTCTTCTCTGACTCAGTCTCAGAAGCTGTGGATGGGTCTGAGCTGGGGCCTGAAGAACACAGGGATTTATTCAGGGGCACTCCTCACACCCAGGATCCATCACAGCCCCTGGATTAGAAAAGTTCTCTTTCACAAGCCCCTGCCCAATCACCTTGGCGTCTCCAACTCTCCAGGTTTCCATGCATCCCCCTGCCTCCCCCGCTGCCCTATAACTGTCTCACCATAGGCAGAACCAACAGTCCTGCGGCCCCGGCCTCGACCCCCATAGCTGCCCCCATAGGTTCGCGTCGTGTGGAGGGAAGAGGAGCTCTCGTCAGTGGTATAGCCAGTCTTATCGCTGCCACCACCCCGTCCACTCCCAGGAGGGCGAAAGCCCAGCCCAATCTGCCGAAGCTGTTCATCAATTTGCAGCCTCTCCAAGCGGAGCTGCTCCACCTCCTGGTTGAGAAGAAAATGGAGAATGGTATGGTAGGAATAAGGTCAGGGGACAGTCACGTTCTCTTCATGATTCTACATAGCTAAGCTCCCAGAAATGCAAGAAGGAAGACAACGGCTGGACAAAGAGTATGGGGATCCAACCTCCCAGGCAAAATTTCCATAAATGGCTCCTGTTTCACAGAGACAAACTGGGCACCCCTGTTTTGAAGTTTATCTTCCAGGAGTCCTTGCCCACTTGCCACACCCAGCTCCTTCCTCTCCTGACTTCCAGCATAGCTACCTGGAGATAGGAGAGGTGATATTCCAGGAGCGCCTGGGCATTGCTGATATTCTCTCGGGTGCCAACAAATATGAAGGGAACCATTCCCTAGAGAACAGAGGGAAGAAAAGATGGATCAGAAACATGAATAAAAATGGAAATATTAATCCTACCTAGCCTCTCAGAGGAGCCCACCCAATGGGATCAAAATCTACTAGGGGGACAAAAGTTGTGCTCTACCCTCTGGAAGTCCCCACCCCTCAGCAAACCACCCCCCTACTTCTAGAAAGCAATCTTGAGACCTAGTTACCCCATACCTCTTCCCTGGGATTCTTCTTGTCATTATCACCTTCAACACGGACCCTCACCACACCAGATTTATCCACAATCTCCTGGATAACTTTCCCGTTCTTTCCAATCACTTTACCTGAATGAGTAAAGGAGAAATTAGGCCCTCCCCCTTTTATTTGAGTAAAAATAGTAAGATAGTCTTCCAGGCACACTGCCATTATATGTATTCAATTATATGTATTCAATTAAATTAATTGTTTCTAGGTTTCTGGTGAATTTTCACAGAACAAAAAATTACAATCTTGGCCGGGGATTTAGCTCAGTGGTTCCACTGCCTGCCTTGCAAGCACAAGGTCCCCAGTTTGATCCCCAGTACCAAAAAAAAAAAAAAATTTCAAAATCTCTACAAGTGTATCCTTCCATTATTACCAATCTTATGAGATGATTTGCTCTATACTTGTAAAATGGAACCACAGGCAAGTGAAAAATCCCAGCTAAAAACCCAGAATCACTTTCCAGACTCTAACACCCGCCCCCCCCACCACCCCCATTTTGTTTCCTGCAATGGTGGGGATTGAACCAGGGCCTTTATACTGAGCTACATCCCCATCTTTTTTTTTTTTTTTTTTTGGTACCAGGGATCGAACTCAGGACTTTGCACTTGCCAGGCAGGCCTGGCTCCACTGAACTACATCCCCAGCCCATCCCCAACCCGTTTTTGGAAACAGGGTCTTGCTAAGTCACTAAATTGCCCAGTCTAGACTTGAACTCTCAATCCTTCTGCCTCAGCCTCCCAGTGTATTGGAATTACAGGCCTGTGACACCACACCCAGCTTTGTACATGCCTGCATGCAATGGCATTATCACTGTTAACCAAGCTGGTTTCAAACTCCTGGACTCAACTGATTCTCCTGCCTCAGCCTCTTACGTAGATAGGACTAGAGATGTGTGCCACTGTACCGAACTTTCTATTCTCTTTTATACATACACCCGAACTCACCAACCAGGTTCCTGGGCACTTGCACGGAGTCCTCAGAAAACTCTAGGTAGCTTCGGGCCTGTCGGCAAGCCTCGGGAGTCTATGAGAAGAGTGGGGAGGTATTACTGAACCATAGGAGCACAGGACCTGAATCTCCATCTCTCTCCCATTCTATG